GTACTCGATGAATTTTTTTCTATAGATAAAAATGTCCTCAGGGGACACTTGAGGATTTTTTTCTATAGATAAAAATGTCCTCGGGGACCTGAGGAATTTTTTTCTATTGAAAAAGTGGCCTTAGGGACCTGTGGGATTTTTTTTCTATAGAATTAAACGTTTAATCCTGAAATCTTGTTGCCATCCCTCCAATTTATGATATTTATGAGAAATTAGTGGTGGCGTATAATTACCGATACTATGTATACGCCCCACGTATTTTTCATAGCATTGAAATATACTCCTCCCCCTACGGCTTGGCAATCTTATCCTTCACTCTTCCAATTACTCTTTATTTTGGCATGAAAATAGTTTCGTTAATATTATTGCAAGAAAAACGCCACTTGATGCTGTTCGTTCGGCTGTGTTCGGTCCTTGACATTCCTTGGGGATGGTCTTGTTACTGGTCTCACTGGAAGTTTATTTGCTCTACAGCAACGTTGGCGATGATGATGATGATGATGACAAAGTAATCGTAAACACTTTTAATTAAGAAGATTAAATTACATGGCCAAAAAGTAATGGCATAAAATAAGGGGAGCACAGCGAGAGAAAATTCGCTGATAAACTTTTTTAAATAACTTAAATTCCTGACAGTTATTTGGGGCTTAAACTGTAACTCTAGCTGGCTATGATGAACAATTTTCATGGTAATTTGGTATTTTTATGTAGGATTGGTGGCTGTTTAAAGGTCAATGGTCTAGAACTTCAACAAGGAATTTTGATACTCTCAATCATGACAGTGAAGGTAACCTTATATTTTTCAGAAATTTCACTAGAGTATCAAATTGAAAAATCCTTTACATTTTTCTCCTGTCCCCAATCTTCCTTGCCATAGAATATTTTGAATATGATCCTTCACAATTCCACTTCACTTTCCATTACGGAAAAATACATAAATATCATTACCAAACCTCCTTGTATCTTAATTAATCGGCATATTACATATTTTTTTATATTTTCGTCTTAAAGAGTTTTATTCAATTAAGTAATTTTCTCATTTAACATTTTAATAGGATTTCATTTTACCCAGTAACTTCTTACCTTTCATTCACTTATTTTCTCTTCGGATTTTTTTTGGAAAATACTTCAAAGAAAACCACTTGGTTTATTTACACATATGTTGTCTGCAGATGAGTGAGTGAGTGTGTGTGTCTGTGTATGTGTGTGTGCTTTCAAATTTACATTTATAATTTGAAATTGCATTTTCTCAAAATTAAATTTTCTTGAGTAAATGTATTCGTAAATTGTTTGCATAGACACATCATATTGAGGCTAACTTTGGAGAATAGTTAAAGAAATTTACTACCAAAATCAGAAAATTTAATTGCAAACATTTACAAGGTGCCATATCTAAGAGATGGTAGGAGTTATTAGATGGCGTAAAGCTGGATATTTTTTTTTAATATTTTTAAGATTATAGGAGAAAAATGGCGATTACTATGGAAAATGTTACTAACATTAACACAATGAAAATGTAGTAGTCTGAGTAACATTTCTGAGTAAATGTGTTAGTAAAAGTAACATATTCGGAGGGAAATGTCATTAACAGTAATATTTTCATGCGAGAATGTTATTTACAGTAACATTTTCTGAGGGAAATGTTATTAACAGTTACATTTTTAAAGAAGAATGTTATTAATAGTAGCATTTTTGGAGAAATTTATATCAACTGTAAAATTTTCTAAGGGAAATGTTATTAACAGTAATATTTTCTTAGGAGAATGTTATTAACAGTAGCATTTTTTGAGGATAATGTTATTAACAAAGAGGAAATGTTATTTTTGAAGAAAATTTTATTAACAGCAACATTTTGTGAGGAAAATGTTACTAACAGAAATATTTTTCGAGGAAAATTGTATTAACAGTAACATTTTCTGGAGGAAATGTTACTAACATTAAAATATTTTGGGGAGAATTTTATTAACAGTAACAGGAGAAATGTTATTAATCATTAACATTTCCTAATAAAAATGCTATTAAGAGTAACATTTTTTGAGAAAAAATGTTATCAACAGTTGCATTTTCTTGAGAAAATATTATTAAAAATAACGTTATCTGAGGGAAATGTTATTAACAGTAATATTGTCTGGAGAACATGTCAACAGAAAATTTTTTGAGGAAAATTTTGTTAATTGTAACATTTTATGAGAAATATGTTATTAACAGTAGCATTTTCTTGGGAAAATGTTATTAACAGTAACATTTTCTGAGGTAAATGTAAACATACTTAAACAGTAACATTTCTGAAGGGAATTGTTATAAAAAGTAAAATTTTTTGAGGGAAATGTTATTAACAGCAATGTGATATTAACATTTTCTGAGGAAAATGTTATTAACAGTAAAATTGTTTAAGTAATATGTTATTAACAGTAACACAACATTAAGGAAAATGTTATAAACAGTATCATTTTTACGATAAATGTTATTAACAGCAAGCAACGTTTTTTAAGGGAAATTCCATTAACAGTTACATATTTTAGGAAAAATGTTAATAACATGTATTACATAACAGTAAGTTTCTCTGAGAAAAATGTTAACAGTAAATTTTTCCACGGAAAATTTTATTAACAGTTACAACTTAAAAGGTAACAGGAAAAAAGTGTCCTCAGGAACCTGAGGGGTGTTTTTTCCATAAAAAGTGTCCTCAGAGATCTGAGGAGTGTTTTTTTCCATAAAAAAGTGTCCTCAGCGGCCTCAGAAAAAGTATCCACAGAGACTATAGAAAAAACTGACCTCAGGGACCTGAGGAGTTTTTTTGTCCTCAGGGATCTGAGGATTGATTTTTTCATAAAAATGTCCTCAGTGGCCTAAGTATTTTTTTTTTTTTTTTCTAAAAAAACTGACCTCAGGGACCTGAGGAATTTTTTTCTATAGAAAAAAGTGTCCTCAGGGAACTGAGGAATTTTTTTCTATAGAAAAAAGTGTCCTCAGGGACCTGAGGAATTCTTTTCTATAGAAAAAAGTGTCCTCAGGGACCTGAGGAATTTTTTTCTATAGAAAAAGGTGTCCTCAGGCACCTGATTTTTTTTTCATATTTTTTTCCATAGATTTTATTATTCAGTTGCCTGAAGAGAATTTTTATTTTTTTTTTTTTTGGCTTGGACCTATTCTTATATCCAAATTGTAGATGGAAATGCTTTCAAAAGATTCTGACTTAGTGATTTTTCAAATTTAATTCATTTATTTCTGAGAAATGGCAAATATACTCCGAAAGGGTAGGAAGTATTGGGGACAAAAGTTAAATAATCAGAAACAGAATTTGATCGAATTTGTTTGAAGTCATATGCCTTTTAGGAAATAACAAAATGAAATACCTTCCCCAGTATTTGAGATGTTGTGCCTGACAGATTGGTGATTTTCACTATTCGCAACAGTTTAAACGACGCTATTATAGGATTTTGAGATTTTTAGTTCCATGTCTTCACTTGCTAGGTATCCGAAATCCCAAAAAGACATATCTCTACTTGCTAGGTATCCGAAATCCCAAAAAAAATTTTTTGAAGACTATGAAATTAGCGGAAGCATCCTTCGGTATTTTCGAGATATTATCGTGAACGCCATCTATACTTCAGTTTTGAATAGTTTATTTGGTCTTCGGTATTAGGATCAAACTTGGCTTAAGTTGAATAGCATTTAGATGGTGAAACCCATGATGGTCATATAATAAATAGGTGGAATACCTTCGCCTGAATTTGAAATTTCTTGCCTCTATATGGTCTATGGCACTATGGTGAACGCCATCTATATTTGAGTTTCAAAATTGTAAATAATATTCCTTTTTTAATATTAATTTTTAGCATGTCTCATTTTCTTTAAGAGCTCCAAGGTATCTGACATTTCCCAAAAAATCCTCTTTGAAAGCAATGAATACGTAGAAATTATCGTCATTAATGTTGGGAATGATGTGCTGAACGCCATCTATTTTAATTAGTAGTACTTTCGTAAAATTTAAAATGTCTCATTTTTTTCAAAAGCTCCGGAGTATCTGAAATGCCCTAAAATTCCTCTTTAAAAGCTATGGAATGTGTTGAAATAGTCTTCAGTATTGTTGGGGATCATATGGAAAACGCCATCTGTACTTCAAATACAACAGTTACCATGCTATTAACATTTTCATAAAATAGGGCATATTTTTAGACGCTAAAGTAATTGCAGGAGTTTTGAGGATCGTAGTATGACCCTATATATTAAATTTTGATTTTATGGATAATTATGTGACAATTAACCAAAAATGTTGCCTAGTTTTAGGCGTCTTTTTAAATCTCTTTATGGCTTTATGGATACATATGTGACAAATATCGAATAATGTTGCCTATTTTCAGGCGCCTTTTTCAAAACACCTATTTTAAATTAAATTTTTATTATTTTTTTAATTTTGTTTTCTTAATTTACCCTTGTAAAATATTTTTGTTTTTGACATTTAATTTCTATTACTATTATTATTTTCATTGCCTCTAAACTTTTGCGTATTAAATACCAGCACCATATGGCCTCTTTATCTCCATGATTTATATTCATTTGCAGTTCTGCTTTATTTTTGGCCAGAGTTCCGTTTTGCGAGAGAAATTTACAACTTTCTCCATAACAAAATATTTAAATTGCATTTGTCGGAAGATATGTAGTGCACTCGGTCTGTGTGCGGGCTAAGAGTACTTGGCATTAACTTCGTTGTGGGGGCCATCAAGCCAGTGGTCAAGTTTTAAGTAACTGTTTCGAAGGAGGTGGGGGTTGTTTGAAGAGGATTTTCTAGGACTTAGAAAACTAAGTGGGTGTGCCTGTGGTACTTGTGGCCATTCATCTTATTACTGAATGGGCAAAACACCCAAACCCAAATGAAAGGACTTGGGCAAACAATGCCAGTTGTGGAAACGGAAATAGAAATGCGGTTGCAAAGCCAAACAGATTTCTACAAAGCAAAAAACAAGGGGGTGGGGAGGAGGTGAAATTACAAAACTTACTTGAATGCTTCTCGGCTAAAATTTCTAAATATATTACAGTCTGGATGTTCCAATAAACGAAATGCTATCGAGCAATGATGGTTCTCTAAAGGCGATATGTCATTGTATCTGAAAAGAGAGGAACAAAAAGAGACAATGTGGTCATTAAAATTTCCGATCTATGGACAAAGATGGTATCCCAAAGGATTAAAAAATTTAGCATTTTTTTCTTCCCTTTCCTTCTCAATTTTCTTTTCACAGCATGTCAAACTCCTGGCTGCCATCTCCGGCTTTACCTTTGGTTGCAGTTCTAAATCTGGGATTACACCTTTTTTCGGGCAATGCAAAAAACTGATGATGGACACCATTGTTGGTTTTGATTGACGTTTATTGGCTTAACTGCTTGAAAGTTTCATGGTATGGCAAAAAGGGGGGTGGTGGCGAGGGGTTGAGTTACATGCTGTGCATAGAAATGTGTAGAAGAGTATGGGTTTTTGCTTTCCCACCTACCTCAGTGCCAATTCTGTACGGGCGTTTATTTGATAAATGTTATTGTAGCCTGGATGATCGAGATCATGACAAATGCAGGACACCAAAAGGATGAGACACTCCAAATCACCTAAACGTTGCAATAGATTGGCTTGACGTGTTATGGCATACATCTGAAATGAAAGGAAGACAGAGAGGGGGGATTTTTTTTAATAAATCCATGTGGGATAGCTTAAAAAGAGAGGATATAGACAGGACACTTTTTTCGATAGAAAAAAATTCCTCAGGTCCCTGAGGACACTTTTTTCTATAGAAAAAAATTCCTCAGGTCGCTGAGGACACTTTTTTCTATAGAAAAAAATTCCTCCGGTCCATGAGGACACTTTTTTCTATAGAAGAAAAAATTCCTCAGGTCCCAGAGGACACTTCTTTCTGTAGAAAAAAATTCCTCAGGTCCCTGAGGACACTTTTTTCTATAGAAAAAAATTCCTCAGGTCCCTGAGGACACTTTTTTCTATAGAAAAAAATTCCTCAGGTCCCTGAGGACACTTTTTTCTATAGAAAAAAATTCCTCAAGTCCCTGAGGACACTTTTTTCTATAGAAAAAAATTCCTCAGGTCTCTGAGGTGACTTTTTTCTATAGAAAAAAATTCCTCAGGTCCCTGAGGTGACTTTTTTCTATAGAAAAAAATTCCTCAGGTTATTGAGTTTAAATTTTTGAAGAAAAAAAGGATCTTTTTCCTTCTTATAATGAATATATAATTATTAAAATTTTTGCAAATTTAAAATGAATTAAAGTTTCCTTCAGCAAATTTTTGTTAATCCTGCCACTTCCTGGAACATGTCATCAATCAAATTATCATGAAAAATTTTGTCTGTCATGTTTCTTCCACATGCTTTCGACGTGCTGTCAAAGAGCATGCTGTCACCTCAAAATGAAGTGCGGTTATTCAATTTTTGTCCTTTTACTTTAAAGTGAAGAAGACAAAAAAAAAAAAAAAAAAAAAAAACATGCCAACGAAGAATGCAAGAAATTATATTGACATTACAAAAGGGAAATTCCATAAATTCTCAACGAAAGATGAAACAGCGCTTGTGTCTTTTTGTTGTTGTACTTTTTTTCTGTTTTCTTCTTCATTTTCTTTGTAGTCCAGTCACCCACTTACATTGTTGCAAAGGATTTTGTAAAATTCTCATCCTAACAGAAAAGAGATACATTTATGATGGACGAACAATCAAGCCACCCTGCCAACCATTTGGGCCACTTTGAAGAAAAAAAACTACTTCCATTCAGCTCAAGCATTTGGTCAAAGCTATTTTTAAAAAAGAGAAAATTTTCCCTGTAAAAATAGTTACATTTTCACCGGGTTTGTTGTTTTTCCTCCACCTCCTCCTTCGCCCTACTCTCTCAGCTTTGGCATTATCTATGGCATGTACTTTGGCATCTTTTTCTTTTTTGGTGAACGTTTTACTGCAACACTAGAAACCCTGGCAAAAAACGAAGAAGATGCAACGATTACACAACGTCATAATCTTTTGTACTTGCCGTCTGTCCTAGGAGAAGAACAAAAAAAAAACTGTGAAAAAGGGCTTTGCTGTACCCTTTCCTCCTTGGCCCGTCTTGCAGCCCCGTGACTTGAGTATTTTGACCTAGTTTTCTTTCTTTTTTTTTGTGAGCGGAGGAAGATAACGAGACATAGGAGAGGGTTTTTTTGGAGGACGGAGAGGGTTTTTTTGGAGGGCGAAGAGGGGGGGATGAGTAATGCCTAAGAAGCTTAAGTAAAATTGTTGAACAAAAGATACAAATTGTATACAATTTTAATGTGGACACAGTGAGAAATTAGTGGGGTTGAGGGAAAAAAGCTAAGAAATATAATTTTCGGATTGGGAAAATTAAAAAAAAAAAATGGTGAATTTAATATCAAATATATTTGTTTTTATTTTAAAGCTGTATTTTAAATTAGAGAGAATATGGCACACATACATAATTTTTTTTATCGAAAATCATTGCATACTTTAAGGAGAAGTGTATTTTTATACACTACACCACAAGGTGGTCAGGGTTGTCTTTGTGCATTTGTTTGTAACAGCCAAAAAGGAAACGAGATAGACCCATAGTTCCTTTTGATGATCTGCATATGATCACATTCTGAGTCGATTTATGCATGTCCGTCCGTCCGTTCGTCTGTCCATGTATTTTTGTGAACAAAGAACAGTTCGCATTTATTACCCGATCCAGATGAAATTTTGCAAAAATCATTTGTTTGGCCCAAGTACGAACCCTATTGACATTGGAGATAATCGGTAAAAATTTAGATATAGCTCCCATATATAGCTTCGTCCGATTTGTCTTTTATTGTGCACCAAACGTCTAATATTTGCCCAAATGGGATGGAATTTGGCACATACAACCAAATTAAGCCTGAAAATAAGTATGCCAAATTTGATCGAAATCGGTTCAGATATAGCTATAGCTCCCATATATATTGTTCATCCGATTTGTTATTTTAGTCCTCCGCAGCCTGTAATATGCACTCTGTAACAACAATATTTTGGGAAATATATCAAATGCAGCTCAGAAATATCTTTGCCAAATTTTATCGAGATCGGTTCAGGTTTAGATATAACTCCCATGTATAACTTCGTCCGATTTACCTTTTTTTGGTGCACCGAACGTCTAATATTTGTCCAAATGGGATGGAATTTGGTACTTACGACCGAATTGAGTCTAGAAGCTAGTATGTCAAATTTGGTGTAGATCAGTTCAGATATAGCTATAGCTCCCCTTATGTATTGTTCATCCGATTTGTTATTTTAGTCCTCCGCAGCCGTAATATGTACTCTGTGACAACAATATTTGGGGAAATATGTGAAATACAGCTCAGAAATATCTTTGCTAAATTTTATAGAGATTGGTTCAGATTTGGATATAGCTCCCATATATAACTTCGTCCGATTTACCTTTTATTGAGCACCAAACGTCTAATATTTGCCCAAATGGAATGGAATTTGGCACATACGACCGAATTGAGTCTAGAAGCTAGTATGTCAAATTTGGTGAAGATCGGTTCAGATATAGCTATAGCTTCCATATATATATGGTTCATCCTATTTGTTACTATTGTCCTCCGCAGCCGTAATATGCACTCCGTAACAACGATATTCAGGGAAATATATCAAATACAGCTCAGAAATACCTTTGCCAAATTTTATCGAGATCGGTTCAGATTTGAATATAGCTCCCATATATAACTTCGTCCGATTTACCTTTTATTGTGCACCAAACGTCTAATATTTGTCCAAATAGGATGAAATTTGACACTTACGAACGAATTGAGTCTAGAAGCTAGTATGTCAAATTTGGTGAAGATCGGTTCAGATATAGCTATAGCTCCCATATATATTATTCATCCGATTTGTTATTTTTGTCCTCCGCAGTCGTAATTTGCACTCTGTAACAACAATATTTGGGGAAATATATCAAATACAGCTCAGAAATACTTGTGCTAAATTTTATTCAGATCGGTTCAGATTTGGATATAGCTCCCATATATAACTTCGTCCGATTTACCTTTTATTCTGCACCAAAGGTCTAATAACTGCTCAAATGGGATGGAATTTGGCACTTATGACCGAATTGAGTTTGGAAGCTAGTATGCCAAATTTGGTGAAGATCTGTTCAGATATAGCTATAGCTCCCCTTATGTATTGTTCATCCGATTTGTAATTTTTGTCCTCCTCAGCCGTAATATGCACTCTGTAACAACAATATTTGAGGAAATATATCAAATACAGCTCAGAAATACCTTTGCTAAATTTTATCGAGATCGGTTCAGATTTGGATATAGCTCCCACATATATCCTTATCTAATTTCAAATTAATTTTAAATAAATGGTTTCATTTTGGAGGTCATCAAATAAAATATTTAAAAATTTTTGACAGCCTTTTAAAGATTCAATTAATTTTTTCTTAGCAGAACGTAAAACTTAATTTCCAGCTAATGTCCTTTTTTGTCAGAATTTTTTTTTTGGATTTGGAAAAAACACCTCCTACATGCAAATGATTATAGCTCATGGAAAACCTTGATTAGCTGGCTAAACGGGTCCATTAATGTCATAGCCAACATTAATGCCAAGTTCTGCATTTGCAGAGACAACATTTTTAAAATGGTCTCGAAAGTGTCATCTCATTTTTCAGTTCGCCAGGAAGGGGTAGGGGTATGGAGGAGGAGGACCTGTTCCACAAGTACCATCACAACCATGTTATGCCACTGGCAATGCTACTTGGAAATGTCGAAAGCACTGGCCGAGCTAAAACTATGGCTCATCGGATGTTGAAGAGTGTTTTCTTGTTGTTGTTGTTGCTGAGACGAAAATAGAAAAGATTTCTGGCGAGAAATAAAAAGTTGCCAACATAAACTTTGATGAAATGACATTTGTTAACTTTGTTGATAAACATTGGAATAGTTTAAGTAGATAAATAAATTGAACCCCCTTTCCACCGCTGTAGTCGCTTGATTTTTGTGGATATGGTTCTGGAAAGAAGGAAGTGCAGGATTGCAACCATGACATCCGCCCTCCAACCATGAAATGGGGGAAGATTTTTTTTGTCATAAAAGGAAGTCAGGGAAGAGAATTTGAGAATCCCCCTGCCCATCTTTTAAGCCCCGTGTATCCGAATTCTAACTTTGTTCCAAAAAATTGAGCAGAGTGAAAAAAATTTAAGTTTATGACTATAAAATCTCCTCTTCCCCTTTCTCGCCTCTTAACTTTCTGACATAGAAGAAAATCACAAAAAAAAAACAAAGGAGGGCATTTAAAATTTCTCCCATTCTCTTAAGCCCGGCCTATCAAAGAAACTTAAAATTAAGAAACTTAAATATTTTGAGGATATGGTCTTACAAAGAATGTTCCCCATGTTTCCTCCAACCATGCAATGTGGAGCATTTTTCGGTAATAAAAGTAAATCTCAAACAATCCTCTGGAAGGGCATTTGAAGCCCCCTCTCCCCCTTTTTTCAGACAAGTGCATCCAAAGTCACAAAAAACCTTCAAAGGAGGGCATTTGAACACCCTCCCCCAAGCTAAGCTCCGTGTACCCAAAGTTTATGACTGCTCGATCTCTTCTTCCCACATTCTCGGCCCCCTACCTTCCCGGCTAGAAGAACATCACA